AAATCCACTTTCTTCTGTCAATTCCATTCCAATTCCATCTTGTGAACTGAAAGGGCTCCAATTCTTCAATTCCAAATATCACTCAACCCATACAAATAAACTGCATGTGAAACAGTGGACATACACAACACAATTAATGGATGCTGTTGTAGATTAAGCCACCCTGAGTGATGGGCCATTTGTAAGTTTGTAAAATAATGGCAGCAGCCTTTGCTTACTGATATGGAACATGGCTTATTTTCATGGTAAGGCTATATGTGAAGCTATTTGTATTCAACTCTTATCGACCAGCATACACACACAGCTGTCTCAATAAGAGCCAGGAGAGTCAAAGCTAGCACGCACACACAGTAACATATTGCCTCACCTGGCAGCAAGAAAGTGAGTACAATGGAGGCATAACCCATTAATGAGAGAAAATATTGTGCAAACCCTTTTGGCACACTGTGAGAATGATAGCAGTACTGTGGAAAAACACTAAAACTTCACTAATGTTATTTTGTCAAAGTGTCAAAAACATTCCAAGTTAAAATCTCTGCAGGGTCTGGGAGTACTGAGAGGTCAGGAGATAGCATACAGTAGTAGAGCTTAATTCATCTGTCAGCGAACTCATTGAACAGACTATCTCAACCCACCAGACTCCAGACCATTGCTTGATAGAGCCACAGGATATCAAAAGATACATCATCCAAAACTGCTGGAAGCAGAAGGATCTAAAGTTGCCTAAAATATTGGATTTGAGTTTGAATGCAACTTCACAGAAACTGTTCACCAGAGGAACATTAAAAACCAATTTAGCCTTGGGATAAGACTTGCAGTTTTATAGCTGGGTAGAGTATACGTTCTATTACTGTACATCGCTGAATATAATTAATAGCTGCAGTTGAAATATTTTAGTTGCAGTTGTTGTTTTTATCTTGTTGGAACTTTTTGTTTGTTTCAATTGGCTGTATTCCTGCATATCCTTTATTTAAAAAAAAAACAAGTGGTACCTTTTCCTTTATGTATACAAGATGGTTTAAGAGGTGAGAAGAGAGGAAGAGGAGATTTGAGAGGGAGAGAACATAGAGTCTCAAATCAGATTAGAGTCATTCAAGTTGAATGTGTTATGAATTATGATCTCTTGCTGGACAGATGCAGAATGTGAGCAGATCTACTATGGTACAAAAAAAAGGAGAAGAGCAAGAATGCCATTAGTCCTGGGGTTATAAAATTATCTAATTTTCTTATGATTTGGGACAATGAATGAACAATTAATGGTCATTAGTGTAATGAGTAAATGTGTACATTGTACAGTGTACATGTCGCTCTTGCCATTAATTACACCGTATTTTAGTATTAATCTATCCATTTGTGTGAATAGTGAAATGCGTGCAAGTAACCTTTTTTGAATATGAGGCTGTTCTAGTGCTGTCACCCATCTATATATTGATTTATGCTAATTTCTTCTAATGCTTAAAACAAAAACAAAAAAATGTGTGCTTCACGCTGACCAAATATGTGCATATTAGTATTCATATTGTAATATTCATGTGCATGTTAACGTGGTTAAAGAGCTCCATATGAAAAAAAACCTTGAAAGGTTAAATGCATCAGCTATGTTTTCAATGAATCCTTTCATGGACGGCCAAATCTCAATAGTTTTTCACTGAAGTGATGTAAAAATGACAAACTAATTTAATTCTAATTTTATACACATAGTTTATGTGAGATAACATACACCGCCTTTTGACTATAGATGTGAATATTTTTGCCTGATACGAAATTACCTAATATTATGCTTGGCAACTGACAGATCATGCCCCACCAGAAATAACTGAAAATCTGTAATACATTTCATAGCAAGTTCCAAAAAGCCCTAAAGCTCTTACAGCATACTGAATTTATAAAACGTTTCAGCTAAACACCTGTCAAACAACAAAACAAATTGGCTACATTACTGAAAAACCTAAAGATATTCTCAGTGAAATTCAAAATCTTCTATATAAAGACCACAGACGGGAGGCGCGGCGCCGCGCCGCGTCTCGCTCTCGTTCCAGACGGGGGACCCCCTGACGGAAAGCTTCAACCTCAAGGATCATTAAAGTGCCAGACCAAACTAATCAACGCAGTGTTGGAGCTAATGAAACTCATCCACTCCCATCAAGTGATGGACATGGCAGGTTAACAGCGTTACCATGGTGGTGCAGTGATGGAAATCTGTGTCTTCATAACTCAGATTTTTCAAGAGAAAAAAACAAACCAACAACTGAGATTATAAATATATATTTAACCAAGCTCAAAGGTTGCCAAGTGTACTAATCATACTGCATTTCAAAGCCATCTGTAGTCCCACTAGTAGAAACATTTAGTAGTAGAACTTCATTAAGTTAAATTATAGTAGTACAACGTGTGAAATAAGTGTTAAAAATCTGTAGCGATAATAAACTCTTCCATTCATAACCTATGATAATTATTGCACAGATCTCACTTTAGTGTAGTTATTATGAGTAAGCCAGAATTTGTTCTGAGGATACATTTCTGTAACATCTGGGAATGTATGACTGCAGCCATATGAAACATCCCAGAACTGGGAATTACAGGTTTCCCCACTGGAGCTTCTCCTATTGTCTTACTGGGTCTCTAATACACTTTGTAATGAGTGGATAATGTTTAGCTAATGTCATGGAGAGGAAAGCTGCGCTAATGAGGAAGAAGAAAATTAGCCATTGCACATGGGATTTCTACTTTCTAAACTCTTAAAATGGGCATATTTACCCTCCAGTGACTGCCATCTAAGCTAAAACCCCACATATATGCTGTTGGATTAGAAGAATGATACATAAACACTCATTTCACATATGTTTAAGGGCTAAAATAAGATGCATACACTACATAAGGCACATATGTCCTTGTTATTGTGAGATGAGTTATTAAAATTCTCTGCAAACTGCAGTGCCATTCCTAAACACCGAGAAAAACACCTCAGTGACATCCAGCCCTAATTAAGAATTATTGTGAGAGAGTTGCAAAGTAGTCTTGCACAAATACGCAGATGCAGAAAAAAGCTCTGCTGAAACGTAGCCTGAGAGAGAACATCTGCCCGCGCTTCTCTTCTCCCCACATCCAGAGAATTAGTGAAACAACAGAGTAGTAAACAACACAATGAGACCGAAGCAGGAAAGAGGGAGGACAGAACCCAGAACAACATCCAAACAAAAAATAAATAAAATCTTTCCAAAACTTCCTTCTCACAGTCCCACAACATCCCATTAGTTCATTTACAATGTCAACATAACAGTGCATCCTACAGCTGTCACTCCAATTCTGACTGCAACATCCCACAACTCCTTATAAAACATTTAATAGTGGCCTATTAATCACATGTAAACTTGAAATTATTAGTCTTCTATATACAACATGCACAATAATCTTTTCAAGACTTAGTTTAAAATCTCATAATGGTGTTTAAAGATGTGGTTCAACTGTTAGTGGTTAGAGGTTACAGCACACACTCCATCTGCATTGAGATGGAGTGACCTTGCTCCAATCATTTATCAAAATAAACTTCTGAGCCAAATTTATAATGTTTTTACAGATACAGTGTGTTTAAATACACTCCTACCTCCTGTTGTAATTCCCGGGGGGCGGGGGGGGACTCCAATAAAAATTAAATAATGGACATTGTTGTTGTTCAACTGCTAATAATAATTATAACAAATACAAATATAATGCATGTTTTTAATCACTTTAAATATAAGTATTAAGTTATTTAATTGCATATCAAAACAACACCTTCCTGCATTTTTCATTTCTGACATTACAAAACAACTCTAAACTTTTATTTTGTTGATTTATTCATTGTTTTCAAAGCCTCCACTTACACTTGTCTATTACAGTGCTGGTTATTTCTCAGGGAAATGTTTGGTAACTTTATTTCGATAGTCCACTTTAGACATTCTATTAACAGTAAGTAACTTTGCAACTATATGTCAACTAGCAGTTAGTAGAGTATTAGTAGACTGTCTGCTTAATATCTTCTAACACTTTCTTTGTCAACTTATTCTACTAACCCTAAACCTACCCTAACAGTCTACTCTGAGAGTTAGTAGACATGTAGTTGCAAATGAATGAGAATTAGTTGAAATGTAGTTGACATGTAGTTACAAAGTTACTTATAGTTAGTAGAATGTCTAAAGTGGACTATCGAAATAAAGTGTAACCAAATGTTTCTGCAAAGAGGGGATTGAGTGAGCGTATGCAATACAGCAACAGCAGCGACTGTGAAGAAACAGGATGAGCATGAGGAGAAGGAAGACATGTTCACTGACAATAGGAAACTGAGACTGGTCACAGTACTGCAATGTATAGATGCCTATAGCAACACTTATTTCTATAAAAATAAAGTGATTAAAAAAAAGCACAAATAAATATTAATGGGAAATGTATGTTGTGTGCTGTAGAGCTGCAAGAAAGTGGGCAAAATGAGAGCATTCATCCACAAACTGTTGGCACTGATTGGCATTTTCTCTTTGGTGTGGGTACTTGTCGCTGAAATTTTATCGTGTCAAGTATTATATAATTATTTCTTGGCATGAAAAATCAGTGTGTACTTAAGGCTTGACAGGTGATACATTGCCAGATCTCTGTGCAAATAGGTTGAGGGTCTTTATGAGCAACGCAAATGCAAATAGCACATAATGCTCAATCAGAATAGCATTATGAAAATCAGCCTTGCACCTGATATGTTTGTAAACACTGGTATTAGAAATGGGGCTCCCTCAGAAAAAAAAATTGTCTTCATGAATTGGGTTCAGAAAGTTCAGATAGGGGTGTACAAAATGTGCTGTGAAATATTGGAAGCACGGTAGAGAGGCCAACACAGGACGAGAACTAACGAGAGGTCAGAGCTGAGTCTGTACATGTGCTGCATGAAAGAGTAAGTCACAGCAAATTTGAAAAAGTACCAGAGGGTAAAGGTGATAGAGAAAGAGACAGAAGGAGAGAAAGAGAGTTGGAAGTCATTTGTTCAGACTCACAGTGGAGAAGTTGTGAGCTCCACAGGGCTCTCCACGGTACTTGCAGGCCAGTAGCATATCCTCCAGCTGGTGGCCCAGTCGGTCCATGAACTCCAAGCTGGTGCCCTCAAAGCGCCGTGGAGGCAGGAAAAGACGGAAATCTGACAGCTTGCTAAACCATGCCCGTCTGTCATCTTGAAGCAGGTCCAGCACCAGGGGTCTGGCTGTGCGGTTGGCCAGCAACAGTCCGAGCCAGTGACCCGCAAAGTACAGATCGCTCTTAGTGAGGTGATACAAACGTACTGCATTATTGTTGCAGATGGTAACCGTGGGAAAAGCGAGTTCTCTCGCCCACTCTGTGTGGACTCTTGTGTGAGTGGGAAAGGCCAGCCAGTGAAGCAGCCGATTCGAGGACCAGGACAACAGAAGACCCAGACAAGTACAGAAGGCTAACATCCAAAAAGCCCGGCGGCTGAGAGAGTTAGACGGGCTGCAGATGTGCCGCAATCCGTGGAGGTGAGTCCGCGCTAGGAGGGCTGCGGTGAGGTGGGACAGATCGTCTCGTGGTGTTCCGGGTCGGGTGCGGCGACGTCGGGCCCTGCGTTGGCCCGGTGTGGGTGAGGCAGGGCGCAGACAACGGCCTTCCAGAGCCATGAGGGCCCACAGAGCTGCTAGAGCAGCAGGGGGGACGGCTTCATCTCCCAGCCAGGCCTCCACGGTCGGGGCCCTCATGGGGCTCCAGGAGCACGGAGAGAGCCACAACACTGACTTCCTGAATACAAATCTAACGTTCAGAGTCCAGCAATCAAGTCACGTACTGTTGTAGCACCTGCAGGACAACTCTAAGTTTAATTGAAGTGTACAATCCAAACTCTACTTCATCTCCCACTTTAATATCCTGTCAAATGTATGCAAACTTCATTTCAGGATTGAATAATCACATTCATGCACAAACACACTGCTCTCTAAGGCACCCAAAATTCAGTATGTGTCTTCATACCCGCTGGCAACTCTCTATAACCCCTCAGGCAAAATCCCTAGTCTATTTTCTTTGTCCCTCTGTCTCTTTCTAGCTCTCTCTCTTTCACTTGCTCCCACCCCAGTCCATCTGGTCAGTGTGCCCAGACTTAGTCTGGCTTTGGGGACAGCCTGAAATCTCCCTCTGAGCTTCTACCAGAATCTCCTGAAGTTCAGGCGAGTGAATTGGAAAGAATGAGGCAGTTACATGGGAAGTGATCTTAATGAGAGAAAAGATTCAATAGATACAAGACAGATTGTAATAGAGAATAATGAAAAAGAGATGGATTGTGAGAGGCAGAGCCAGCTGAGTCACAAGAAAGAAGGATCTGAGAGAATCTCCAGACAGGCTGACCTGTTGGTGAAATAGACTGTCTTGAGCGACCCTTTTCCACAGTCCGTGAAGAGAGGGTTTTTCCCAAAGACTATAACTGACCCCACAACCCCACGATTACACTCATCTTGTCTTTTTGCCTTTTTTTCTATAGCTTTGACAGTGATACAGTACTGACTTTTTGCCATCCCATCTCTATGTGTCTCTGTCCTCAACTATGGGGGCACATGGGCAAAAGCCTGGTGTTACAGAGGTCGTACTTTGTGCTAGTTCTCACACACATACACACATACGCACACACACTGACTCTTGCCTGCAGGAGGGCTGAATGCCGCTGATGTGGAATCTGTTCTGACATGGTCCGAAATCAGCATCTCACTCTCTCCCTCCCTTTTCCATCCTTCTTTTAGACTGAAACGGCATCCTTTATCTTCTTCTCCTTTGTTTTTCCTTTGCTAAAAATATCCATTCCCAGAAAATCCAATTCTTCAATTTGCATCCATGTCCCTCCTCTTTACTCTGTCAATCAAAGCATGCTTGCTCCTCCCCTTGCCTCTTGCGTGCCTCCTCTTGTCCTTTATCGTTGTCTGGACGCTTCACTTCTGCCTCTTCGGTCACTCAAAAGAGAGAGTGCGAGCGAGCGACAGAAGCTGCTCGGCATGTTAGCCTTTGCTTTCCTTTCCACTGTTTAATTGCTCTGCTGTTGCTGCCACGCCACTCTCGTCTTCCCTTTCGCGCTCTGTCGGTCTGTTCGCTCAGCAATCCTCTCCTCCTCCTGGGTCACTCCATCCATTCACTCCTCCTCCTGCTCTGTCGTTTCTGTTCTCTCCACACTCCTCCGTGTCCACACAGCCAGCGCCTGGCTCAGCCTGTGCCAGCTCTCTCTCTCTCTCTCACTTTCTTTTTTACTGACTCTCTCTCTCACTCTCCCTCTCTCTTAAACTCTCTTTATTTGCCTGTATGTTTTGTTCACTGTCTGCTTCCTTGAACAAGGCTGAACAGAAACAAAAGAATCCCTCTAATGTTTCTCTTTATGAGCTTGTTAAAAAGTAAAACGGTGTCCTGTGTGTGTGAGCATGTAGGAGGCTTGCTTTTGTGTGGGAAGAAAAGCCAAAAGAGCTCACTGGTGTCCCACACTTCCTATCTCTCACACTTATATTTTATGTCACCTCTTTTTCTGTCTTTTACATATATATTTAGTGTTGTTGTTTTTTTTTTTGGAAGAGAAAGGTTTGGCACACTTGTATATCTTGCAAATCTTTATTAAATATGATTTTTGGATATTTTAGTTTCTTCTAGCATGACTCAAATGTTATTTACTGAAGATTTACATGACATTGCATAGAATGTTTTCGAATAGCACTGATTGTTACCTATGCACCTGCTCGTGACCAATTCACTCAACTACTTATTCTTCCATTGAAAAAAATGTATACCTAAAATGCTTACAAATTAAAAAATATATATATATCTTACGAGTTTCCTTCTTTTGTTGAACATTAAAGGAGATATTTTGAAGGATGTTAGTAACCAAAAAGTTGTTGGTCCCCAATAACTTTCATAGCATAGAATAAAATACTATGGAAGTCAGTGGGTACAATAAACTGTTTGGTTACCAACATCCTTCAAAATATGTCCTTTTGTGTTCAGCAGAACGAAACTAAGACTTAACAACCCCTTTAAGGTAACAATTGCAGGTTATCACATTTTACAGTGAGTGCATGTGTGCATTATTTCATTAATTTGTTCATTTGTTCCTTTGTTTGTTCATTCATTCATTAATTCATTCATTCATCATTTTCCTCCCAAGTTTTCACACACATATAGAATTAAAATGACCTGTCAGAGTCTTGGCCACATGAGTGCATGTAGATGAAATTTTGCAATAGGCAGACAGATACAGAGTCACATCACCAAAAATTTAGAGAGCAACAGATGGAGTGAGAGTTGGTTTAATCACAAACTGAATATATCACACACTATAACAAAATGTTTTGACTAGATACTCACATATTTTATATATCCCATGATTCTCTTCCCTATGTGTTTTTTATTTGCACACACACACCACACAAAACACACAGTTAGGTATTCTTATTGAAGAACAGGCACATGAGTCATCAGGAGATGCAAATAATGTCAAATAAGGCTTTCTTAAAAAATTGTTGACCTCAAAATTAATTTTCTCACCATAAACATAAATCTGTATGATGTTCTTGTGAAACTTTTTTAATGTGTTTTTTTTTCAATTAACAAATGCATCTCGTTAAAATTGAATAATCTATTTGTTCATGAACCACACTGATCTAGTCAAGTTAACACTTCACTGGATGATCTGTCGGTTTGTCACACAAACCTATTGCGTGGCTTCAAAATATTTGGAATATAGCACATAAATCACATGGGCCGCAGATTTTCAAATTAATTAATTTCTTTGGTCCACAGAACAAAACATAGAGATTTGGAACAATATGAGGGTGAGTAAATGATGACAGAATTTCCATTACTTACAAGTAATTTGCTTGAAAACCAAAAGCAACATTGAAAAAACAAAAGATTTTAATCCCACAGAAATTGTTGAATAAATTCTTAGAAATACTTTTAATAAATACATTATTTATAAACATACATGTGTATGTATGTATATATACCCTCTGGTCAAAAGGGAAATGCAATCGGACGCTTACTTACCAAGATGTGTGTCTGCTGGTTTTGGATTAGCAAATTGCAAATGTGCTTCACAATGGTGCAAAAAGTTAGATATTTCATGATTATTCAATCTTCATTATACTGGCAAATACATTTTTCTCATATTATGTAACTCGGCTATAAACCAAAAGGAATTACTTAACATAAAAATGAGACTATTTTAGATTTAAATTGGCTAAATATATATATTTATCCATATTACATTACTAGCCCCAGTTGTATGTATTTTTTATAAGACCTAATAAAATTACAATAAATGTGATTTATAATTCATCGGCAAGACTTGGAGAGCTAAATTCAAATTCATGACTTGACTGAAACCATGTAACTTGGGAACTGACTTTAATGGTCAGAGCTGGGACTTGACTTTGTCTTGTAAAACATTGACTTGAACCAGTCTAGCAGTTGCCTGAACGTCCCCTGAGGCAACATATTGTTAGAGTAGAAAGAAAGAAAAATTAAAATGATTTATGCATAAAAGGTCATTGTAATTCCAGCTAGCAAACAACAGAGAAATTGGCACTGATGTAAGGCCAGAGGTGAACTGGTGCGTAGCCTTGCATAAAACACATTTTAATTCATTTCCAACAGAAAGATTCATATTCTCTTCGTCACCCTCAAATCATGAGTACAGTCTATAACTTCAGTCCGGAGCCTTTCAGCTATTACATATCAGTTAGCATCGCACTTCCCCTAGGATCTCATATCCTACGAAGAGTATTCAAGCAGCCTGGACACCAGTGCATCTATTAACTGCTGCTTGATTCAGTTTCAGTAAGTACAATCCAGTACATTTGCATCTGCATTGTGCCTTTCATTATAAAACTGTGGTAAGTACAATAAAAAGGACAGAAGAAACCTTTAGCCTATCATATTAATTTTCCAGGTATGTGAGGCATTCAGTTTCACAGCAAGCATGTACATAACTGATTTTACTATGCTTTCTTTCAGGCAGATTCTTTATCGAGTGCCCATATGATCTCAGCATGAAAGTAGCCCTTCAACATGACCTCTTATCTTACCATGTTAACAAATACAACTGAGTACAAAAGAACATAAGCATAAATTCACAGCGATCGGAAGAATCTTTAACACAGCATGTCGCCTCACAAAGGCCTGAATAAAAAAAAATTACAGATAAATCTCAACACAATGGTATACAAGATGTCATACCACAGCAATGACTGACACAGACCAGCATTTCAAAATATTCTTCAATAATGATATGAACCAAATCAACAACAAAAAATTAAAAGAAAAAGAAAAAAGAAAATGTACTCGGTTACTAATGTAACCTCGGTTCCCTGAGATACGGGAACGAGTACTGCATCTGCTTAGACGCATATGGGAAAAAAGCCTTTTTTCTCCTGAACTGAAGCCTTTTCATTCACGCAGTGAAACTGCACGGCCATTGGTTCGTGCAGTGCTTAAAAAGCAAGCCAATGGCTAGGCAGCAGAGTTGCACGAGCCTATGGCGACGAAGCCCACCAAAGCCTGCCAGAAAGGGCGGGGCATCTGGCTATATAAGCGGGCGCTTGTCACAGGATTCTCAGGTTACTTCGACTGAAGCGACGACTGAGTCATGCAGCTACATAGCACGGCTAGCAACTCAGTACTTGTTCCCGTATCTCAGAGAACCGAGGTTACGATACTACACTCGTACTGCGTCTACTTAGACGCATATGGGAACATAGTACAATCACGCCGTGCTAATATAGTGGAACGACTAAAGGTATAAACTTCCATAAGCAACCAATGCTCAAAGAGAAGTTAACAATAACCCAATGCTAAGACGGACTGAGCTTCCTAGGTCGTACCCGGCCTGGTTAATCGTTCCAGAGTACTCCCGTAACTTCAACACCAAGGGGTCGAGAGCTAACAGGTGACACAATGCCAGAGAACTTGGGCGTGATACGGCCAAGGGCTCTCTGCCAGATCTGTTTATGCAGCGCATGTCACTTCCAGCGGAAAGGACCATGGCCTGCAAGGCCAGGACTTCCAGGATATAAAACCTTGCGAATGTGGATGGCGAGGCCCAGCTGGCCGCCTCACAAATATCCTTGATACACATCTGGACCATGCCCAAGACGAGGCGATGCCTCTAGTCGAGTGGGCCCGTACTCCAATGGGGCATTGGAGGCCCAAAGAAGAGTACGCTAGCGAGATGGAGTCTACTATCCATCTAGAGAGTCTTTGCTTTGTAACCGGAAGCCCTTTGGTGCAGTTACCGAAGCTGACGAAGAGTTGTTCCAATCGCCTATAGGGAGCGGAGCGCTCAATATAGATTCTCAAAGCTCTGACGGGGCAGAGCAGAGATAGCTCTCTGTCCTCTTCAGTTGGAGGAAGCACAGAGAGCGTAAGGACCTGTGCTCTGAACGGAGTGGAGAGCACTTTCGGTACGTAACCGTGCTTTGGTTTCAGGATGACTTTAGGGTCGTTAGGCCCGAATTCCAGGCAGGCTGGGCTAATAGAGAGTGCCTGCAGGTCCCCTATTCACTTTACTGATGCCAGTGCTAGAAGCAGAGCAGTCTTCAGCAATAGCGACCTAATGTTGGCAGACTGTAGCGGCTCGAAAGCGGGGCCCTTCAGGGCCCTCAGCACAGTGGTCAGGTCCCATGAAGGGACGGTAGGGGGACAAGGTGGATACAGCCTCCTAGCACCCCTCAGGAAGCGGATGACCGCGTTATTTCTGCCCACCGATTGACCCTCAATAGGGGCATGAGAGGCCGCTATAGCCGCCACATAGACTTTGAGCGTGGATGGGGAACGTCCCTTATCCAGCAGCTCTTGTAGAAATGACAACACCTCTGCCAAATCGGAAGGCAGGGGCTCTTTTAGACACCAAGTGGAGAAAAAAGACCACTTTAAAGCATAGAGGCGTCTCGTAGCCCACTCTAAGAAGCGCTCTACCAGCGTGAAGAGGCGCTTCGAGGAGAGGCCTCCCTGGCGATTTATGTAGGATACCACAGACATGTTGATTAGCAGATGGTGCCCTTTTAGGACTGGCAGGAAGGACCGGCAGCAAGAACTGACAGGCTCGACATACTGCTAGCATTTCCAAGTAGTTGTTGTGGAAGCCTTTCTCCGCCTTCGACCAGTGGCCGAAAGTCAGTATGCCCTCGCAC